GTTAGAGAAAAAAAGTGAAAAGAAATGAACAAAGCCTCCAAGAAATACGGGGCTATGTGAAAAGACCTAATCTACATTTGATAGATATACCTGAATGTGATGGAGAGTATGAATCCAAGCTGGAAAACACTCTTCAGGATATCAGCCAGAACTTCCCCAACCTAGCAAGGCAGGGCAATATTCAAGTCCAGGAAATACAGAGAACACCACAGAGATAATCCTCAAGAAAAGCAACCCCAAGGCACATAATTGTGAGATTCACCAGGGTTGAAATGAAGGAAAAAATATTAAGGGCAGGCAGAGAGAAGGGTCGGGTTACCCACAAAGGGAAGCCCATCAGACTTACTGCGGATCTCTCGACAGAAACTCTACAAGCCAGAAGAGAGTGGGGGCCAATAGTCAACATCCTTAAGGAAAAGAACTTTAAACCTAGAATTTCATATCCAGCCAAACTAAGCCTCATAAGCGAAGGAGAAATAAAATCTTTTATCAACAAGCAATTGCTCAGAGATCTCATCAAAACCATGTCTGCCTTACAAGAGCTCCTGAAAGAAGCACTAAACATAGAAAGGAACAACCAGAACCAACCACTCCAAAACCGTACCAAATGGTAAAAAGTGTCGACACAAGAAACTGCATCAACTAATGGGCAAAACAACCAGCTAGCATCAAAATGGCAGGATCAAATTCACATATAACCGTATTAACCTTTTTTTTTCTTTTCTAACAATATAAACCTTAAATGTAAATGGGCTAAATGCCCCAATTAAAAGACACAGACTGGCAAATTGAATAAAAAGTCAAAAGCCATTGGTGTGCTGTATGCAGGAAACCAATCTCACATGCAAGGACATACATAGGCTCAAAATAAAGGGACAGAGGAAGATTTACCAAGCAAATGAAGAGCAAAAAAAAGCAGGAGTTGCAATCTTAGTCTCTGATAAAAAGATCAAAAGAGACAAAGAAGGGTATTACATAATGGTAAAAGGATCAATGCAACAAGAGGAGCTAACGATCCTAAATATATATGTACCAAATACAGGAGCACCCAGGTACATAAAGCAAGTTCTTAACAACCTACAAAGAGACTTAGACTCCCACACAATAATAGTGGGAGACTTTAACACTCCACTGTCAACATTAGACAGATCAATGAGACAGAAAATTAACAAGGATATCCAGGACTTGAATTCAGATCTAGACCAAGAAAACCTAATATAGAACTCTCCACCCCAAATCCACAGAATATACATCCTTCTCAGTACCACATGATACCTACTCTAAAACTGACCACATAATTGGAAGTAAATCACTCCTCAGCAAATGCAAAAGAATGGAAATCATAACAAACAGTCTCTCAGACCACAGTGCAATTAAATTACAACTCAGGATTAAGAAAAAACTTCATGGAAACTGAACAACTGGCTCTTGAATGTTGACTGGATAAACAATGAAATGAAGGCAGAAATAAAGATGTTCTTCAAAACCAATGAGAACAAAGAAACAATGTACCAGAATCTCTGGGACACATTTAAAGCAGTATCTAGAGGAAAATTTATAGCAATAAACGCCCACATGAGAAACAAGGGAAGATCTAAAATTGATGTCCTACCACCAAAATTGAAAGAGCTAGAGAAGCAAGATCAAAAAACCTCAAAAGCTAGCAGAAGACAAGAAATAACTAAGATCAGAGCAGAACTGAAGGACAGACATATAAAAAAACCCTTCAAAAAAAAAAAATCAATAAATCCAGGAGCTGGTTTCTTAAAGAGATCAACAAAATAGACCACTAGCCAGATTAATAAAAAAGAAAAGAGAGAAAAACCAAATGGATACAATAAAAAATGATAAAGGGGATATGACCACCGATTCCATAGAAATAGAAACTACCATCAGAGATTACTACAAACAACTCTATGCACAAAAACCAGTAAACCTGCAAGAAATGGATAAATTTGTGGACACTTGCACCCTCCCAAGCCTAAACCAGAAAGAAGCTGAAACCCTGGATAGACCAATAACAAGGGCTGAAGTTGAGGTAGCAATTAATAGCCTACCAACCAAAAAAAGCCCAGGTCCAGGTGGGTTCACAGCTGAATTCTACCAGACAGGAGTTGGTACCACTCCTGAAACAATTCCAAACAATCCAAAAAGAAGGTATCCTTCCCAAATTATTTTATGAGACCAACATCATCCTGATAACAAAACCCAGCAGAGACTCAACTAAAAAAGAAAACTTCAGGCCAATATCCATGATGAACATAGATGCAAAAATCTTCCCTTAAACACTGGCCAACCGATTACAACAGCACATCAAAAGGCTTATCCACCATGATCAAGTAGGCTTCATCCCGGGGATGCAAGACTGGTTCAACATATAAGTCTATAAATGTAATCAACCACATAAACAGAACCAAAGACAAAAACCATATGATTATCTCAAATGATGCACAGAAGGCCTTCAACAAAATTCTACAGCCCTTTATGCTAAAAACTCTCAATAAACTAGGTATCGACGGAACGTATCTCAAAATAATAAAAGCTATTTACGTCAAACCCATGGCCAATATCATCCTGAATGGGCAAAAACTGGAAACATTCCCTTTGAAATCAGGCACTAGACAAGGATGCCCTCTCTCACCCCTCCTATTCATTATAGTATTGGAAGTTCTAGCCAGAGCAATCAGGCAAGAAAAAAAAAATAAAGGGTATTCAATTAGGGAAGGAGCAAGTCAAATTGTCTTTATTTGCAGATGACATGATTGTATATTTAGAAGACCCCATCGTCTGGGCCCAAAATCTTCTGAAACTGATATGCAACTTCACCAAAGTCTCAGGATACAAAATCAACGTGCAGAAATCACAAACATTTCTATACACCAATAACAGACTTTAAGAGAGCCAAATCAAGAACAAACTACCATTCACAATTGCTATAAACAGAATAAAATACCTAGGAATACAACTAACAAAGGATGTAAAGGAACTCTTCAAGAACTACAAACCACTGCTCAACGAAATAAGAGAGGACACAAACGGATGGAAAAACATTCCATGCTCATGGTTAGGAAGAATCAATATTGTGAAAATGGCCATAATGCCCAAAGTAATTCATAGATTCAATGCTATCCCCATAAAGCTACCTATGAACCTCTTCACAGAACTAGAAAAAACCACCTTAAACTTCATATAGAACCAAAAGAGAGCCCGCATAGCCAAGACAATTCTAAGCAAAAAGAACAAAGCTGAAGGCATCACACTCCCTGACTTCAAACTATACTACAAGGCTACAGTAATCAAAACAGCATGGTGCTCGTACCAAAACAGAGATATAGACCAAAGGAACAGAACAGAGGCCTCAGAGCCAACATCACACATCTACAACCATCTGATCTTTGACAAACCTGATGAAAACAAGCAATGGGGAAAGGATTCCCTGTTTAATAAATGGTGTTAGGAAAACTGGCTAGCTATGTGCAGAAAGCAGAAACTGGACCCCTTCCTGACATCTTACACTAAAATTAACTCCAGATAAATTAAAGACTTAAGCATAAGGTCTAACACCATAAAAACCCTAGAAGAAAACCTAGGCAAAACCATTCAGGACATAAGCATTGGCAAGGACTTCATGACTAAAACACTAAAAGCACTGGCAACAAAAGCCAAAATAGACAAATGGGATCTAATTAAACTCCAGAGCTTCTGTACAGCAAAAGAAACAATCATTAGCATGAACTGGCAACCAACAGAATAGGAAAAAATTTTTGCGATCTACCCATCTGACAAAGGGTTAATATCCAGAATCTACAAACAACTAAAACAGATTTACAAGAAAAAAACAAGCCCATTCAAAAGTGGGCAAAGGATATGAACAGACACTTTACAAAAGAAGACATACAGGAGGCCAACAAACATGAAAAAATGCTCATCATCACTGGTCATTCAAGAAATGCAAATCAAAACCACAATGAGATACCATCTCACACCAGTTAGAATGGCGATCATTAAAAAATCTGGAGACAACAGATGCTGGAGAGGATGTGGAGAAATAGAAACACTTTTACACTGCTGGTGGGAGTGTAAATTAGTTCAACCATTGTGGAAGACAGTGTGGCAATTCCTCAAGGACCTAGAAATAGAAATTCCATATGACCCAGCAATCCCATTACTGGTTATATATCCAAAGGATTATAAATCATTCTATTATAAAGACACACGCATGCGTATGTTCACTGCAGCACTGTTTACAAGAGCAAAGACCTGGAACCAACCCAAATGCCCATTGATGATAAACTGGACAAGGAAAATGTGGTGCATATATATCATGGAATACTATGCAGCCATGAAAAACAATGAGTTCATTTTTGTGGGGACATTGATGAATTTGGAAACCATCATTCTCAGCAAACTGACACAAGAACAGAAAAACAAACACTGCATGTTCTCACTCATAGGCGTGTGTTGAACAATGAGAACACTTCGACATAGGGAGCGGAGCATCACACACTGGGGTCTGTTGGTGGGGAATAGGGGAGGGACAGCAGAGGGTAGGGAGGTTGGGGAGGGATAACAGGCGGAGAAATGCCAGATATAGGTGACAGGGGGGATGGAGGCAGCAAACCACATTGCCATGTATGTACCTATGCAACAATCCTGCATGTTTTGCACATGTACCCCAGAACCTAAAGTAAAATAAAAAAATAAAAATAAATAAATTTATATATATATATATAAAGCACATCCACTGAAAAAAGAAAGTGAAAACAATTGAAAGGAAATGGACCTCTTGGATTGATCCTTCATATTATATATTTTTTCTTTTTATCTTTTCCTCTGTATTTGGAAGACTCTATCTAAATGTATTTGGAAGACTCTATCTAAATTCTGAAAAGAACAGAGAAAATATAAGAACATATTTAAAGAAATAATTGAAGAAAATTTCCCAGAAGTGAAAAACAAGACTCAGAGTGCCAAGAAGGATGAACGAAAAAAAGACTCACCACCTAGAAACACTCTCGTAAAATATCACAGAACCAATGATAAAGAGTCTAATAAAATCTTCCAGAGAAAATACTACGATACCTGCAAAAGAAAGAGACTGGCATTAGACTTGTCATAAGATACACTAGATGCTGAAAAGCAACAGAATGTCTTCAAAGTTTTGAGGAAAACAAAATGATGGTGGACTAAGTCTATTTGCAAGCTATCAATTAAATAAGCAGGCAAGGTAAAGGGATTCAGACATATGAAGCCTGTGGAAATTAAATTAACTGTTTAATCCTTTCTGAAAAAAATTGCTTGAAATTAGTTATACCCCAACAAGGTGGGAAGAAAATCTGTGACAAATGAGGGCATGGAATACATAAAGCAGTAGACCTAACCCAGAGATGATACAAAGGAATCTCAGAAAACAGGTATGCAACTAGTCTAAATTACATGTGAGAGAGCTGGAAATATAGCTTTAGGAGCAAAATGAATTCATTTAAGCAAATACAGTACCATTATTAGAAAGCTAATAGGATATCTTCATTAGCAGAGGTAGAATTACATTTTTTCACTGCAGATTCAATCACACTTCCTGGTTTTATAGCACATGATGCTTGCATGGTAGTTTATGGGTTTTCTTTTCTTTTTTTTTGAGACAGAGTTTTGCTCATTGCCCAGGCTGAAGTGCGATGGCGCGATCTCGGCTCACCACAACCTCTGCCTCCCGGAGTTCAAGCAATTCTCCTGCCTCAGCCTCCCAGGAGCTGGGAATACAGGCATGCACCACCATGCTCAGCTAATTTTGTATGTTCTGAAGAGACAGGGTTTCTCCATGTTGGTCAGGCTGGTCTCAAACTCCCAACCTCAGGTAATCCACTGACCTTGGCCTCCGGAAGTGCTGGGATTACAGGCAGGAGCCACCGCGCCCAGCAGTTTATGGGTTTTCAATGTTTAAGAATCAACATATAAATAAAAAATAGAATATTTGTATTGATTGATGTCTTATGGCTCCTTAAAATGTATAAAACCCAAGCTGTAGCCTGACCACTTAGGGCACATGTTGTCAGGACCTCCTGGGGCTATATCACTGACATGTCCTTAACCTTGACAAAATAAACTTCTAAATTGGTTGAGATGTTTCCCACATACTTTTTGGTTTTCATCCTCTATTACCTTCTTGGGGCTGCTGTAACAAATTACCACAAACGGAACAGCTTATTCAACATAAATTGTCTCTCAATTCTAGAAACCAGAAGTTGGAAATCAAGATGTCAGCAGGGCCATGCTCTCTCTGAAAGCTCTAGGAAAGGATTCTTCCTTGCCTCTTCCTAGCCTGTGGTGATTACTGGCAATCTTTGGTTTATAGACACATCCCTCCAATGTCTGCCTCCTCCTTCATGGCATGGCATTCTCCCTGTGTGTCCGTCTGTATCCATATTTCCCTCTTCTTATAAAGATACCAGTCGTTGGATTAGGGACCCCTCTGATTCAGTATGACCTCATCTTAACTTGAATAATATCTGCAAAGATCCTATACCAAGTAAGTTGACACTCACAGGCTCTAGGAGATAGGACTTAAACATATCCTTTTGGGGAACACAATCCAACCCACAACACCCACAATAATCAATTTTCCACAAAGCAGCCACAATGATCCTCACAAATGTACAGGCCCTCCACTCTCCTGCCTACAGGCTGTGTCTCCCTGGCCTCTTTCTGCCTCTCAAACTTCTACCACTTTCCTCTTAACACTCCAGCCACACTGGCCTTCTTTCTATCACTCCAACACTCATTCCTGACTCAGGGCCTCTGCCTGGTGTGTGGCTCCCTTCTTTTCATCATTCAGGTTACACCTCAAGTGACACTTCCTCACAGAAGTCTCCTCTGACCTACCTACCAAAAGCAACACATCCCACAGGTATTCTTTTTCACAGAACCCTAGTGTCTTTGCAGCACTTACCAATACAGAAATTATTTTACTTATATAAGTCCCCCTCTTACTTGAACATCAGTTCTACTGAGCACAGATTCAATCACTATAGCCCTAACTGCTAAAACAGGACCTCACAAAAAGTTTACATTTTTATTTAGTCAAATACATCTCTTTTCCTTCATGACTTGGACTAGCACTTAGCCTAGTACTTGGAATAATGCTTAGCACAGAATAAAAGCTAAAAAAAAACAAGTTAACTGTTATTACTACCACAATAGTTTGCAGTTATTTATTTGTACAGTCTCCCTGGCTAGACTGAGAGACTGAAGACAGAAACTCATTTATTTGCCATGTTACCAATCCCAGTGGGACCAGGCACAGTGGCTCAGGCCTGTAATCCCAGCACTTTCGGAGGCTGAGGCAGAGGGATCACCCGAGGTCAGGAGTTCGAAACCAGCCTGGCTAACTTGGTGAAACCCTATCTCTACTAAAATTACAAAAATTAGGGTGTGGCGGTGTGCACCGTAATCCCACCTACTTGTCAGCCTGAGAAAAAAGAATTCCTTGAACTCAGGAGATGGAGGTTGCAGTGGGCAGAGATCATGCCTCTGCACTCCAGCCTGGGCGACAGAGTGAGACTGTCTCAAAACAAACAACAAGAAAATTCCCAGTGGTCTGGCACACATTAAGCATTAATAAGAAATGCTGAATATAATTAGCGAACAACAATTCTGAACAAAGTTATTTTCTTTGATATTGTGGATTCCTTATTTTAAAAAGAAATTTTTAAAGATGGAAAATGCGACTGCTCTTCCTGCTTTTTGATTTGGTTCAAATCTGAGGAGTTGGGGAGGGGGGCGACCAGTACTTAACAGATCTAGCAAGACTTTCTAACTTTCCCAACTCGCAGGAAAAAACAGGTAATTGCTCTAAAGCATGTCCCTCATATTGGAGATCAAAACAGACAAGGGCATTTTTTTCTAAAGAGGGGGTGAAGAACCAAAACTTTTTGTCTAATTTTGGGATGCAGTCAGACGTGACAGTTCATAACCACACATTCATCTGGCGCTGAACCTCACATAAGGAACCTTATCGGCTTCCTCGATAAAACAATATCCCAACACTTCACTCTAGAGATGGAGGAGCCCCACTTGGGGTAGAAATGTAGGGTTGTGATTTCTAGCCGCCCATTCCACGAGTCTCCCGCCATGTCAAATTCCGAGGCACGCAGTACTCTGCTAGTGGGAGATGGCGGGCTTCCTCACCCCAGCTTTACCCTGACACAGAGTTGCAGTAGCTGAACAAACTGCCCTGCGTTCCTCAGAAGCTATTAAGTAACGAGATGCCCACGGTCTACAGCAGAAGAGGTGGAGAGAAGCTTCAGGCGGGAAAGATGAAGTAAACATGCCAAATGAGGAGAAAAAGAAGAAGAAAAGCAGCGAGAAGGCTGATCAGTCAGGAACACGGCCACTTCTCACGTGTCATTGCTACTTCGAATTTTCTCATCTAAGGACTCGCACCCGCACGGTTCACACCGTCTTCTTCGCGCTATCACTCCGTGTGGGCCAAACCTCTGCCCACCCATGGAGAACAGCGCGAGTGGCTTCAGGAAGCGGCCGCCGCCGCCGGGACTCACCGGCTTGCAGTGTTGCCGCTTGTACGCCGAAAAGGCTGGTCCGAGGCCGGGTCTCTCAGCGCTGCGTCCGAGAAGGCCGCAGCTTTCGACCCCCACCGCGAGGCTGCTGTGGTCCGAAAATGAGTGAAGCGCAACCGACGTCGCGGCTCCCGTAGGCGGACGGCTCCGCGGCCCCCGGATGTTGATATGGCGTCTGCCCCGGAAACTGTGACAACAGGCTCAAGGGGGCGGAGGCGGCGTTGCCGGGCTCTCCGGAAGGAGACGTGGCGGCGGTTGGGCCCGGGCTACCCGGGCGCTTTATAGTCCCGCCGCCTCCTCCTCCTCCTCCACCTCCTCCTCCTCTCCTCCAGCAGAGGAGATTGTGGCGGCGGCTGGAGAAAGCGGCGGCGGAGGATGGAGGAAGGAGGCGGCGGCGTACGGAATCTGGTCCCTGGCGGGCCGGTGTTACTAGTCCTCTGCGGCCTCCTGGAAGCGTCTGGCGGCGGCCGAGCGCTCCCTCCGCTCAGCGATGACATCCCTTTCCGAGTCAACTGGCCGGGCACCGAGTTCTCTCTGGTCAGTGCTTTCACGAACCCTGAAGCCACCCATTCTCCTGACACTGAGGGTTCGGCCTCTTCCCTTGGTTTTCTTTGCTTTTTCTCCCCAAGTCCTTCTCTGCAGACTCTTACCTTCCCCAAGCCTAAGCTGCTTTTACCTCGCGTTCATTCATTCATTCGTTCCCACATTATGTGGATGTGTGCCCCTTGCTGAATGTTAGGGATCCAGCGATCACCTGCTCTTCACCTTTTTAATTCTGTCGCACTAGACCTTGCTTCCCAACACTCCCACCCTGCAGAAGCATCTTTTGTAGAAAAACGTCAGGTGCACCTACGCATCTTCCTTTTGGAAAATTAATTGTGCCTCTTTCTCCACCAGCAGACTTACTTCCTTCAGTATTATGCAGCGCCCTGCCGACACCACAGTACTTCAGACGCGAGTTCCTTCTCTCGTGTTCGTTCTCCCTCTTTTGTATACACATATGGACGTACGCAAACGCTCAGCACCCAGGGAACCTTTTCCTTTCAGAGTTGTTTCTGAGAGGGCTATTTGGTCTGTGAGATGTTAACGACCCTTTATGCAGAATATCCTTTGCAGTTTTCATGTATTACGACTGTTGTTTGAGTCCCTGGAACATGAATTTTTAAGTTGAGTTTTTCTATAGTGAAGAAAATATTTATAACCTCACCGAAGTGAAAATTCAGTTTTGGGGGAGTGGACTGCTGAAAAGTCTTCCTGTCCACGTGTACCTATTGCAGGCCTATAAAAATTGTATTCTTATGACACTTAACCGTGTAGTAATTAACTTATTTATTTCATATTGAAGTCCCAGAAAAAGCATTTTTGTTCACTTTTTATTCCAATTACCTTTAAGCATTCAACTTGGGATACCTTATAATATTGTTTCATTATCATTTCATTGAAACAGTAAGTGATAACTATGATGTCAAAAGAAGATACATCAAGTTAATGGATGTTATTACCACATAACTTTCTATTTGCAAATGTTAGGGGGTTTTAGGCTTGGTTGGGGTTTTTTTGTTTTTTGAGACAGGGTCTCAGGCTGTTGCCCAGCCTAAAGTGCAGTGGCACTGTTGCCACTGGCTGTAGCCTCAACCTCCTGGGCTCAAAAGATCCTCCTGCCTCAGCCTCCTAGTAGCTGGGACTATAGGCAAACACCACCATTCCTAGCTAATTTTTTTTTCCTTGAGACAGGGACTCACTTTGTTGCCCAGGATGATCCCGAACTCCTGAGCTCAAGCAGTCCTGCTGTCTCAGCCTTCCAAAGTGCTGGGATTACATGCATGAACCAAATATCAGTTTCTTGGCTTATTTTTCACAGCTATTTTGTTTCTCCAGCCCTTGTTCTCCCATTCTGTTTGTTCAATGGTTTCTGAATTTATCTAAGTAAATATTTTTCTGGGAAGTCAAATTTCTCTTTGTATTAATGCCACGAAATATTGACATATTAAAATATCGATATAAAATTTTGTTATAAATCAGATATAACATTAGCAGGCTTAGATGAGAATACTTTAATCTCCGTTGTTGTATACAAAGAGCACACTTGGAGTGAACATGGCAAACGTTTGAAGAACTATGTCATTAACTTTTTTTTTTTTTTTTTGAGATGGAGTCTTGCTCTGATGCAGTCTCGGCTCACTGCAACCTCTGCCTCCCGGGTTCAATCAGTTCTCCTGCCTTAGCCTCCAAAGTAGCTGAGATTGCAGGCATCTGCCACCATGCCCCGCTAATTTTTTTGTATTTTTAGTAGAGACAGGGTTTCACCATATTGGCCAGGCTGGTCCTGAACTCCTGACCTTGTGAATCGCCCTCTTCAGCCTCCCAAAGTGCTGGAATTACAGGCATGAGCCACTACACCCAGCCCATTAACATTTTTTACTCTTGCACCTGTGGGGTTTCTTTTTAATTTTAAAAAAATGCTGATATGCAGTCCTGAAAACCTACTGACCTATAAGTGAGCGACTAAAACTAGCATTTTGAGAGATCACTACCAAATTGTCATTCCATTTTTTTCAGTCTTAGCATATGTTATACCAACCTTTCACATATCTAACAATTTTGTTTCAAAAAATATTCTTTTTTTAAAGACTGGAGTGCAGTAGGTATTTATCTGCATGATCATGCTCACTACAGACTCAAACTCCTGGGCTCAAGTGATCCTCCTCCCTTAGCCTCCTGAGCAGCGAGGACTACTGGTGCTCACCATTGCATCTGGCTTTTTTTCTTTAAGTCTGTGTTATTTTGAGAAAAATCTAGAGATGTTGTTCTATGAATTGGCAAAGGGCCTATGTCCCTCGTGTAAAAATAAGCCACAATAATCATTATCATTGGTCTTCTGTTTTTTTTTTTCTTAACTACTTCTGTAATTTTAAGGCTTCCCTTTGCTGATGCATTTAACTGAAACTATTGTCTGGGTGTTGTGGCTCACGTCTATAATCCCAACATTTTGGGAGACTGAGCTGGGTGGATCACTTCAGGCCAGGAGTTTGAGACCATCCTAGGCAACATGGGGAAACCCCAGCTCTACATAAAATACAAAAATTAGCTGGGTATGGTGGCTCATACCTGTAGTTACAGCTACTTGGGAGGCTGAGGCAAGAGAACCTGGGAGGCAGAAGTTGCAGTGATCCGAGATCACTCCAGCGTGGGTGACAGGAAAAGAGTCTCTCTCAAAAAAAAAAAAAAAAAACCTACTGCCCTTTTCACCTGGCGCTGCCATTTTTTTTTTTAATAGGCCAGTTGGTTGGACATCTGTGTGTGTTTGTTGGTTGGTTTGTTTGTGACAGAGTCTCACTGTGTCACCCAGGCTGGAGCGCAATGGCGCAAAATCTCGGCTCACTACAACTTCTGCCTCTCAGGGTCAAGCAACTTTTGTGCCTCAGCCTCCCCCGTAGCTGGGATTATAGTCGTATGCCACCATACCCAGCTGATTTGTTGTATTTTCAGTAGAGATGGTGTTTCACCATTTCAGCTAGGCTGGTCTCAAACTCCTGACCTCAAGTGATCCGCCCATCTCGGCCTCCCAAAGTGATGGGATTACAAGCATAAGCCACTGCGCCCGACCACTGGTTGGACATTAGTATTTAACTAATAAGCAGCTATATGAAACAGGATAAGGTCCTTTATCTGCCATCTGAAATTGGAAGAGACTGGATTAGAAGGTCTAAATTTTTTTAAGCTTTAAAATTACCTGCTTTAAATCATCTTCCCATTCATTTATATCAAAACAATATATAATAATTTACAATCTTGCTTTCATATTTGCTTAGGAAAAGTATTAAGCACCAAAACTGTAAAATGGGGGTTGTTAGTGTATTTTGGTGGAGATGGAGTTTCCCTGTGTTGCTTATGCTGTTGTCAAACTCCTGGTCACAAGCATCCTCTGGCCTCTCCCTCCCAAAGCGCTGAGATTGCAGGCATGAGCCACCTCGCTTGGCCAAAAAATTTGTGAATTTTTTAATGTTTACATTAACTAGTTAATAATTATGATATTCTTTGCTTATTGATTTTTGGCATTCAGTTTTGTTTTTGTGTATATATTTTCCTTCTGAAGTATCATCTCTGTGTTGTTATGTTCAATTCAATTATTCATTACTTCATAGAGTTCATGGATTTCACCAAATTAAACCACAAATCAGTCTAATTTTCTGTCTACTTCTGTTGTTAATGTAGAATATATTTTACTTACAGATTTTCCCAGGCACTACTCTTTGACCAACTCCATGGTTTATAGAATGTCATATACGTTGACAGGTTCTATCAAGTGTATTTTATAGCCTCTACCAGAAGTTCTATCTCTCATCCTCTAACCATCTTAATTCCTCCAGACCCATGTCAAACATTAGGAATTCCTCTCATGCCAAGATATTTTTTAAGTTCCTTGACTTTTAAAGTACCCCAGCACCTCTGATTAGTTTCATTATATTAAAATTCGACTTTATGTCAAATCACTACTAAAATCTGACTTTGTGTCAAATCACTAGTTACCTCTTACACTGAAAATACCTTGTTACATAGTTTTTTTTATACAATCTGTAATTCTGAACATTCAGAATTTATTATATTTTGTTTTGTTTTGTTTTTTTGAGACAGAGTTTCGCTCTTGTTACCCAGGCTGGAGTGCAATGGCACGATCTCGGCTCACCGCAACCTCCGCCTCCTGGGTTCAGGCAATTCTCCTGTCTCAGCCTCCTGAGTAGCTGGGATTACAGGCACGCGCTACCGTGCCCAGCTAATTTTTTGTATTTTTAGTAGAGACGGGGTTTCACCATGTTGACCAGGATGGTCTCGATCTGTTGACCTCGTGATCCACCCGCCTCGGCCTCCCAAAGTGCTGGGATTACAGGCTTGAGCCACCGCGCCCGGCCTTATTTTGTTTTCTTAAAGTAAGAACCTGTTTTACAAAATCAGAATCCTTCTGATTTTAGTAGATCAAAATTTTTAGAAAAATTACAAAAGGTTAACTTTTTCTCAGTAATTCCTGTTACCAAAAAGTAGAGTAAAAGTTGCAAAAAAATACATCTTGTGGTCTCAATAAGTGACTCACTGTTTCAGTAAAGAGTTTTCAGGTAGGATTGCTATTTGGTCTATTTTATTGGGAAAACAGCCTTTCCTAAACTAATGAGAGACAAATGGTTGCATCAAGAATTGTCTTCCCTTTTTTGCTGTGGTTCCAAACAAGCAGTTACTTTTTATATAGTTAGCCTTTTGGAGACCATTTTGAAAGGAATTACGAATGTTGTATCTTACAGAAAATTGTTGGCACAATTGAATAAATGTTTCTGAGAAATCCTTTTTCATAAGTTTAGCTTTGCAACTTTTACTTTCAAATCTCTTTGATTTCCTCATCATCTGTAATGCTTTTTTTTTTTTTTTTTTAAGAGAGATGGTGTCTAAGTCCAGCCCAGGCTAGACTCAAAACTCCTGGACTCTAGCAATTCTCCCGCCTCAGCCTCCTTAGTAGCTGAGATTACAGGTGCACATCTGACTTAGGGTGGCCTTTTAAACACATATCCTTGGCCATAATTCAAGTCTACATAGTAACCTAGAAAAAGTTTGTAGAAGTTGATTCAGATATGTTAAAATAGTTAAGAGCACACAGAATATGCTGCCAATCTGTTTGAATTCTCTGGGCTCTGCTACTTCTAGGGCTTTTAATCTTGGACAAATTGTTAAAGCCCTGAGCCTTAGTGTCCATTTCTGTAAAAATGAACATGATGCTTGTTTTGAGGATTCATGAGTTAATGAATGTAAAGCACTTAAAACAGTACTGTCCTGGAGCTAATACAGCTAGTACTTACTGCTTTGTTTTAGTGTCTTGGGGGAAATGCTGTAATTTGCATTTGTGTTTAGGATTACTTTGGTGCCTAGTAGTACTGGTTTTATTATAGTAAAGAATTGTTAGGCAGGGGAGTCGTTCAAGCCTGTAATCCCAACACTTTGAGAGACAGAGGCTGGCAGATGGCTCTAGCCTAGGAGTTTGAGACTCACCTGGGCAATAGGACAAAACCCCGTCTCTACAGAAAAATTACCGGGGCATGGTGGCACATACTTGTAGTTCCAGCTACTAGGGAGGCTGAGGTGGAAGGATCACCGGAGTCTAGGAGTTCAGGCTGCAATGAGCTGTGATCATGCCACTGCACTCAGCCTGGGTTAGTGAGAGACCCTGTCTCAAAAAAAAAAAAAAAAGAAAAAGAAATTATTGTTAAATTGAGAATAGAACAAAGGTCCTTAATAAGAAGAGGTTCCTAGGCCGGGTGCAGTGGCTCACGCCTATAATCCCAGCACTTTGGGAGGCCGAGGCGGGTGGATCACGAGGTCAAGAGATAGAGACCATCCTGGTCAACAAGGTGAAACCCTGTCTCTACTAAAAATAACAAAAATTAGCTGTGCATGGTGGCGCACGCCTGTAGTCCCAGCTACTCGGGAGGCTGAGGCAGGAGAATTGCTTGAACCCAGAAGGCGGAGGTTGTGGTGAGCCAAGATGGTGCCATTGCACTCATCTGGGTAACAACAGTGAAACTGTGTCTCAAAAAAAAAAAAGAAGAGGTTCTTTTCTTGCCAGAAATAGCCAAATAATAGTACCATAGTTGCACAGTACCATAAGAGGAAAATGAAGAGAGAATTGAATTATCGTAGAACACATATATCATAAAACACAGAAATACCTGCCTTAATAAAATGAGTATCACATTTCCTCCTATCAGGAAGAAGAGATTTGGTCTTACTAAAATAATATCAGTTATATTAGTTGAAGTGTTTATTCAAATTCTGTTGACTCATATTAACCAATGTGAATTTGTTTGGTTTCATAGTGTAGAAAGCTTTAAGGATAATTTTGCCAATATATGCCAGAAGTTGGCAAACTACAGCCATTGTGCTGTCCCACCACATATTTTTATAAACAAAGTTTTATTAGAACATCATAGTACCTATTTATTTACATATTGTCTTTGTACTTTTATTGCTAAGGTGGCAGAGGTGCAACAGACCATATGCCTCACAAAGCCTAAAATATTTACTCTCTGGCCTTTTACAAAAGTTTGCTGACCCCTGATATATACTAAAAAAAAAGTTAAGTCAGCACAGAGGATCTATAGTAATTTTGCTTTTAAAAGGAATTTATGGCCAGGCACAGTGGCTCCCGCCTGTAATCCTAGCACTTTGGGAGGCTGAGGTGGGTGGATCACCTGAGTTCAGTAGTTCAAGATCAGCCTGGCCATCAGGGTGAAACCCCATCTTGTAAAAAAAAAAAAAGGAATTTATTTGTGGATAAATCATACATTCTCCCTATATGAAAAATACTGCATTACATTACTTTCATGTCCCATCCAGCAGAACTGAAGAGTACTACACATTTGTAAGGTGCTATGGATTCTTATATGTAGATGGGAATTGCTAGTAGCAGTAATAAATGTTCAGTGATGGTGTATCGATTAACATTCATTGCCACCTTTCAGTATCTTTTTTTCTTTTTTCTTTTTTTTGTAATAGGGTCTTGGTATATTGCTCAAGCTGATCTTGAACTCCTGGGCTAAAGCGATCCTCCCATCTCACCCTACTGAGTATAATCACTATTTTAACTTCAGCCTATTGCATTCCTCCTTTTTTCTTTATACTCCAAACATTATTTTCTTCATTTTTTTCCTATTATGACACCAGGATAAAGCTTATTGTCTTCATCTTGTAATTAATAAATATATAGATGAAGCCACAAAAAGGAATGGAAGCACGCCTTTTGCAACAACACCATGGCAGCTTGGAGGTCATTATCCTAAGTGAATTAAGACAGAAACTGAAAACCAAATACTGTATGTTTTCATTTATAAGTCAAAGCTAGGCATTGAATACATGCACAAAGACAAGAACTATTAACACTGGAGATTCCAAAAGAGGAGAAAGAGGGAGGGCTGACAAACTACCTATCAGATACTAGGGTATCATGTTCAATACTTGGGTGACAGGAATATTAGAAGCCCTTGATCATCATACAATATATCCATGTAACAAACCTGCACATATACCCCCTGAATCTAAAATTCTTGTTAGTGTATTAGAATATTTTCCCTCCCTTTAAAAAAAAATCATCTGTTGAAATGTTAAATTAGTTTAAAGAATCTTTGTTCCAGCTAGAACTAAAGTTATTCAGTGTGATACAATTTAACAGGAGAAGAATATAATGTATATTTTTTGTTCAATTTGCAGCCCACAACTGGAGTTTTGTATAAAGAAGATAATTATGTCATCATGACAACTGCAGATAAAGAAAAATATAAATGCATACTTCCCCTTGTGACAAGTGGGGATGAGGTAAGTTTTTATAAATATATGGATAATTCCGTCACCAAAAATACTTATTTACAACATTGCAACTACATACTTTGAAGTAAAATTGAATCACAGATTTGTCAATAACCTGTTTTGGCATAAAAATATTAATCACTTTTGCCGGGTGTGGTGGCTCACGCCTGTAATCTCAGCACTTTGGGAGGCCGAGGCGGGCGGATCACCTGAGGTCAGGAGTTCAAGACCAGCCTGGCCAACATGGTGAAACCCTGTCTTTAAAAAAAAAAAATTAAAAAATATTAATCACTTTTAATATTCTTGAATTCTTTGATTTTGCAGTTTATCTCAGAAAAATTAGCAAAGAATTATTAATGTTTTAAATAAAAATCTAACTCCACACTTGCTCTCTTTATAGAAATAAGAGTTTTAAAGCAAGGTGTGATTTTTAAATGTATATGTGACTGTTTAAATAAAGAATTGTTTATAAATAAGTCTGTAGGTACCTCATGCTTTCTCACTACCTTAGTTCATGCCCTTTTCTTTCTCCTAAAATGCCCTAACTGCCTCTTATCCATCCTTCAATGCAATGACTTCTTTCAAGATGAAACAGGAGAGGCAGCATGGTAAAATGGAAAAGACACCAGCCTAGGAGCCAGGAGGCTGAGGTATAGGCTATAGCTAGCTGTGGAACCTTGAACAAATTTGAAACTCACTTCCTCCACTCAATAAATTTATTAAGCCAATTAAATAATATTTTCATGATCTGTAAAATAGAAATACTAAACTCAGTGCTTTCTTGGGTTTTGTTCAGATTTGAAATCTAAGACCACTATTTTAAGATTCCTTGAGACACACACACACACACACACACACACGGCTTTCAAATCTGAAATGTAAAAAAATAGAAAAACTGAAAAGTATGTTAAAACTTTCCAATATATCCTATAAGATTCAACTATTCTAAGGCTTTCATAGCTAAGAATTTGTTTGGGTATGAGCATTTAAAAATTCCGAAATAGGTTTATAAGAATTGTTAGGAGACTGATACTTAAAAACCATTTTTTCCCTCCGTTCTTGCCTTGTGAAAAACAAAAATATATTTTAACCATTTTTTAAGAGAAGAAAGAATGAACTCTATGAAAGATTATTCTATGGCTCCAGTATTTTATACTTAAATTCATTTGAAAGCAGTGGCATACCATAGGCTCTTGTTCAACATTTTAACTTTTTTTCTCTTTTATTTCTAAGCATTTATGATTTGAGTAATGAGTTAATAACCAAACAGCAAAGTTGAGTGAAGTTCTAGAAAAATTGTAAGTATTAAACTCTAATTCTTTCTTAGGAAGAAGAAAAGGATTATAAAGGCCCTAATCCAAGAGAGCTTTTGGAACCACTATTTAAACAAAGCAGTTGTTCCTACAGAGTATGTATTTAATGTTTACTAAATGACTAGACAACAGATTACCAACAGCCAAAGACCTTTGAAAATACTCATGCATTTCTTCTTTTTTATGTTGTGTCAGGTTTTTTTTTAACTATTATTTTAGGTTTAGGGTTACATGTGCAGAGTTGTTACATAGGCAAACTGCATGTCACAGGGGTTTGTTTGGTGTACAGATTATTTAGTTACCTAGGTAATGAGTATAGACCCCAATAGTTTCTTTTTTTTTTAATCCTCTCCCTCCTCCCATTCTCCATCCTCAAAAAGGCCTGTGTCTGTTATTCCCCTCTTTGTGTCCATGCATTCTCATTGTTTAGCTCCCACTTATAAATGAGAACATACAGTATTTGGTTCTTTGTTCCTATTGTATCAGATTTTAAGTTAGGTATAAATCTAAGTTATTTCTTTTTTATTTTTATTTTTTATTTTTGAGAAAAGGTCTGTCACCCAGGCTGGAGTATGGTGGCATGATCACGACTCACTGCGGCCCCAACCTCCCAGGCTCTAGCTATTCTCCTACCTCAGACTCCCCAGTAGCTTAGCACCACCATTCCCAGCTGATTTTTGTATTTTTTTTAGAGATAAGGTTTTTCACCATGTTGCCCAGACTAGTTTCAAACTCCTGAGCTCAAGCCATCCACCCACGTCAGCCTCTCAAAGTGCTAGAATTACAGGCATGAGCCACTCTGCCCAGCTAGTTATTTCATAATAATATCTTATTTATTTAAATTCCTGTCTAATGTATGCAACAGATACCAAATAATACCAGTAATAAATTATATCACTTACCAAGCTGTTTTGAATGTTTTTTAGGTCAAAATAAAGTTTTCTTCTTTTGTTTTTTGAGACACAGTCTCGCTCTGTCACCCATGTTGGAGTGTGGTAGCATGATCTCAGCTCACTGCAACCTCTGCTTCCCAAATTCAAGCGATTTTCCTGCCTCAGCCTCACAAGTGGCTGGGATTACATGCACATGCCACCACATCCCGCTAATTTTTTGTATTTTTCAGTAGAAATAGGGCTTTGCCGCGTTGGCCAGGCAGGGCTCAAACTCCTGGCCTCAAGTGATCTGCCTACCTTCGCCTCCCATAGTGCTGGGATTACAGGCATGATCCACTGCACCCGGCTGAAAGTATGTAATAGAATTTTAATTTAAAATGCTAATTGTTATTTTTTAAGCTACGCTGAAAATTATCCCTAAGTCAGGTAATTATTACAGACCCAGGTGTGTTCTAGGCCTGTTTCCTTCACAGAATTCTCACGTATAGCTAATTAGTAAAAATAATGAATAGACTTCAGAATTTCACATTTTTCTGAGGCATAATTATAAGTATCATTTAATGAAAGCTCACTCCGAAATCTTGGGGGAAGTCTCAGCTACTTCATATATCAAAAAGTAATTCAGCTGAGTTATGTGGATTTTGTGTTTGAAATATATCCATCTTTCTTAGATTGAGTCTTATTGGACTTACGAAGTATGTCACGGAAAACACATTCGGCAGTACCACGAAGAGAAAGAAACTGGTCAGGTGTGTTTTTCTTCACAATATTATTATGAAACATTATAAGATAAGAAATTCAATAATGAGATTAATAGTTTTAAAGTTGGCCGGGCGCAGTGGCTCACGCCTGTAATCCAAGCACTTTGGAGGCCAAGGCGGGCGGATCACCTGAGGTCGGGAGTTCAAGACCAGCCTGACCAACATGGTGAAACCCCGTCTTATAACTAACTAAATAAATAAATAAATAAGAAAAAAAAAGTTTTAAAGTTGTATCCTTTAAAATGTCTTTGCAAAATACTTACTGTATTTTTATTTTACTTTTCAATTAGAAAATAAATATTCATGAATACTACCTTGGGAATATGTTGGCCAAGAACCTTCTATTTGAAAAAGGTTGGTGTCCACCCAGTGATTTGACAGTAATGTGGGAATTTGGTTTAAAATATATGGTCAAGTTGTAATTTAAGAGACTTTTTTTTGGACACTGTGTGTATTTTAAAATACTGAAATAGGTTTCTGAACTCTCCCTTAGAAAACTTTTGAAGAAAACTTGGTTTTCTCTTTTTTTTTGAGACAGAGTCTCTCTTTGTCACCCAGGCTGGATGGAGTGCAGTGGCATGAACACAGCTCATTGTAGCCTCAACCTCCTGGGCTCAAGTGATCCTCCTGCCTCAGCCTCCCAAGTAGCTGGGACCACATGCACATGCCACCATGCCCACTACTTTTCATGTTTGTTGTAGAGATGGAATCTCACCATGTTGCCCAGGCTGGTCTTAAACTCCTGGCTCAGGGGATCCACCCACCCCAACCTCCCAAGTACTGGGATTGTATGCATGAGCATGAGCCACCATGTACAGCTTTTATTAGTAAAAACTTTACTAATAAATAAGAAAAAAGTATATTTGTCAAAGCAAAAAATAGTGAAAACAATGCCAGGTGCATGTTAGTGTCATATAGTGTTAGTCTTCTGCTTGGTTTAAGCAAAGTTATTATATGTGGAAATACATATCTCTCTCAAATGGTGAAATATTTTTATTAATCTGTATTCAAATTTGTCAACTAACTTAATATTAAATTTTTCACTGAGATTAAAAATACCTCAAAAGAAAATTCTTGTGGCCAGTTTTCTGCCTGAAATAGAGTATTTCCTAAGTGAAGATTAAATACGACTGTCCTTTCATACAAAACAATTTCAAGGAAACTAGCTTTAAAGTAGTAAGATAAAAATTGTATGTGTTTTGAATCTTCTTTAGAAAGAAGTTTAAAGTTACACAGGTGGTTGAAAACTTAAGTCACTTGTATCACATATGTCACTGCTCATTCTTTACACTTATTATTCATATTCCACAGAACAAGAAGCAGAAGAAAAGGAAAAGTCAAATGAGGCAAGTGACACATGTTGATTTTTACTCTTAACATTTATTGTTAGTGAGGTATGAATTTATATAATCTAACTGACAGGATATAGCTTTATGTTTTTATTCTTCATCTATCAAATACCTCAAAGGATTGGGTTAAAGAACTTTTACAGTATATTTGTTTTTCTGAGAAAATTATTTTTGTATAATCTTAAGAGTTAATAGACACTATGGTCTATCACTGATGTGTCTGGGAAAGATGCTCTAGTAGTATTATATCATTTCTATGCTTAGCAGTGGTTCCATGTGTATAACACTGGAAACTATTATAATAAGAGGTTTTGCAATTTTTTTCTCTTGTTTGGTCCCCATCTCCTATAGGTAAAACAGGTAAACTATAATACAAATAATAATATGCCAGAATGCAAGCATCTTAAAAGCAGGGACTGTCCCTTATTTCTTTATCCCACAGTGCAAAGCAGAGTGCCAGATATATTATAGGCACTTCATAAATGTTAATTGAAAGAATGGATAAATGATGTCTGTAACATAGGATTGTTTAAAAATAATAATTCCTCAGGAAACCTAATCACAATTTTTAAATCCCAAAAATGTTCATAGAGTTTAAATAACTTGTTGATAGAAGATACCTCTATTAAATGGCTTAATATAATGATGATACTTTTTTTAGAAGTAAAGTAAAATGACAAAGACCTTGAAAATTACTAAAAAGTGATGCCTATGACTTAAAAAGGTAGCTTTGGGGAGACTTGATAAGCTAAGCATAGACACACATAGCATTGCTATTTTAAAAGATTTTAATTTTACAGACTACCTTTAGATTAAAATAGTTATCTACTATGACTCTGGAGGATAGCAAGATGGAATTCAAAGTGTGATAAAGGAAGAGGAAGAAAAGGGTAAGGGAAGAAAACTATTTTTTGAGCCCCAGTTTATAAGCCAGACACTGCTGAATATGTAATAAAAGCTAATGTTTAATTCTCCCAAAACCTTTGAATACACATCACTTAGCGATGGAGATGCATTCTGAGAAATATTTGGTTAGGTGATTTTATCATTGTGCGAGCATAGTAGAGTATACTTACACAAACATACATGGTATATATATATTTTTATTGTATTTTTTTCCTATGGAAAACCAAGTGTCTTGGTACCATTACTGAGTATCAGTCATTTCTGCTACTGCAATGCCAGTATCAAATGCCATATATCAGATTTCTGTAAATGCTCCATTAAAAACTTATGGGGCCACTGTCATATATGAGGTCCATTGTTGACCAAAATGTCATTATGCAGTACATGCCCGTATATTATTCTGCTTTTCCAAATGACAAAAACTGAAATTTGGTCAAAGTCATAAATCTAGTAAATTTAAAGCTTGCATTTGAACCCAGGATTTTATAATTTCAGGCACTAGCATAAAAATCACATACGTAAAAAGAAATCTCAAAATATTTTTTCCTGAAAGCATTTATTTTTTGCTGGTTTTGGACATAGAGCTGACAAGGTACTAAAGTGATATAAGATGAGACCCCTGCCTTCAAAGAGCTTGCTTGGAGATATTATTAACAGTACCTTTTTAAAGTTCTTACAGTAGATTTTTGTTGTGTTTATGTAGAGAAAAGTATGGGTGCTAACTTCTTAGTGATCCTTGTCTTCTCAGGTTCTATCCTTTATTCCTTCATTCCATAAAAATTTTTAAATTGTCTTTTACTGGCCTTGAAGAGATTTATATAGGAGTTTACATGCTGTATAGTATGTGCTGTTAACATTAAAAATGGGGAAGAAAAGCAAGCAGATTGTTGAACCTGTCAGTACTGTATTTAGACTTCTGTTTTAGAATATAATCTTTCACTGTACAGCCCTATTTTTTGGCAAATCAGCCTTCAGACCTGTAGAATCATAACCGTTCACTGAGAGTTTAGAGAAGAATGCTCTAAGCAGCCTAGTATACTAAGTTTTTATATTTTATCTTAGTCTCTTCCTTTTTTTTTTTAACAGCCTATTGTGGGATATCTTAGTCTCTTTCTTTAGAACTGTGAAAATAATTAATATTAGCCATTATTTTGTAGTCCTTGATATAAAAGTACATTTTATTTACCATGTTAATTTTGGCACCAAATTGTAATCTTTTGTATTAAACTAGCTCTGAAATTACATAATTGCTCAAATAAAAACTTATAAATCAAAATAATATTAGAGGAAGAACTAACGATACAGAAATGTTACTTTTCAGTTAATAAGTAAAATGTAGTTTTCTTCCTTTATGAATACTAAGTTCCTCTCCCATTCTCAGTCCCATCTCCATGTCTAATGAAAAGTCTGTCTTTTTTTTTTAAAGTCTGTCTACTCTTTTTTTTAAGATTCCCACTAAAAATATTGAAGGTCAGATGACACCATACTATCCTGTGGGAATGGGAAATGGTACACCTTGTAGTTTGAAACAGAACCGGCCCAGATCAAGTACTGTGATGTACATATGTCATCCTGAATCTAAGCATGAAATTCTTTCAGTAGCTGAAGTTACAACTTGTGAATATGAAGTTGTCATTTTGACACCACTGTTGTGCAGTCATCCTAAATATAGGTAGGATGTGCATTTAATATTTTAAACATAAAATGCACACATGCTTTAAAGTGTTCTGTGCATAGGTTTAATGCTTTGTTCTCACTGAATAGGTTCAGAGCATCTCCTGTGAATGACATATTTTGTCAATCACTGCCAGGATCGCCATTTAAGCCCCTCACTCTGAGGCAGTTGGAGCAGCAGGAAGAAATACTAAGGGTGCCTTTTAGGAGAAGTAAAGAGGTATGAGAATTGACTAATGATAATTTCTCAGTGCTTCATTTTTAAACTTCAGAGCATATGTCAGTATCTTAATGATTTCTGTAGTATAATGGTAGTAATTTATTTTACTGGCTCAACATTTTGAATTCCATTTCTTTTCATGGATTTTAATCCTTTTTCTTATTCTAGTACTTCTCAAACTATTTTATTATTCTCTTATACTCATAATTTTATAATATTTTAAAGTTTGACATCCTACTCATTATACTTTAATTTTTAGGTATTTGTCCCAGCTAACCCTCTTGAAAAAATAGACTAAAACCCCATCTCTGTCTCCTAATACATTATTTATTCTTCAGCTCATTGCTACCCTTTTAACCACTTCTCTACACTGCCTCCCCATTTTAATATACTGTCTTACATTTTCATCTGCCTATTGGACATAACCATATACATTTTTAATAGTCTCACACCATTTTTTTTCTCTTTCATGCTAACCCTTTTCTTGCCTTCTCCTATGCCCTACCCAATTAACCAATTAGAAACCTAAGGCATTTTTCTTACCTGTATCTCTTCATTTATCTCTAATCCTAATCATTCACTGAAAGTCATTCATGTTATCTTCTAAAGGCTTTTTAAATCCATCCTGTCATTAGTTCAGGATCTCATTATTTCCTAGAACTGGAAACTGGTCTCTTCACACATCCCCTTTCTGATTCTTCCCACACAGCTCAAAAAATGCTCTTTCTGAAGTCAACCTTTGATTATGTGTTCAATCTCTTGGTGGTTAATACAATCTACATCTCAGGATAGAATCATTGCTCATGGATTACAAACACTTTTGTGGTCTGACTTCAGCCTCATCTTTCATCACCATTCCATTTATCCCATCTGTTCTGAAAAACTTGAGTTTCTAAAAAGTACCAAGGAGTCTCACTTTGTCACCCGGGCCGGAATACAGTGGCATGATCTTGGCTTACTGCAATCTCTGCCTCCCAAGTTCAAGCAGTTCTGCCTCAGCCTCCCAAAGTGCTGGGATTACAAGTGTGCACCCCCACACCTGGCCCTCCATGACTTTCAATATACTGTTTTCTTCTTCTCTTGCCTTGTACCCTCCCACCACTTCTGCTGATGTACTTCTACTTATGCTTAAAGATGCGATTCCAATGTTACTTCCTTTGGGAATGAGCCAAAATTTCCAGTGGATTAACCCTGGAAGAGATAACTGCTTCCTCTTCTGTGGTCTTACATTTTTTTCAGTCCTCAATCATACACTTACATGGCTAAAACTGGTTGTTTTAGCTATGGGTGTTACATTAAACCAGAGGGCAGAAGAAACTAATACTTGGCTGCAACGCTTGTTTCTTCCCTTCCTCTCGAGTACTTCTGCAAAAGTATTACTGGACTCTCTGAATGCTGTGACTAGCACTGTCATTCTGATAGGAAGAAAAGGTAATTAATTGAATTTGAAATGCTATATTAAAAGATTTGGAGTAGAATCCTCTTCTGGTCTTCCTTTTGATAGGAATCTAAATACTGGCAAATACTTAAAAGTTAGCTTAATCAAAATGCTTCATAAATCCCAGCTTTCATTACTCTTCAAGGAAAAAATGCCAGTTTACTTCTCTTTAACTAATGTGTTTTGTCTGGGCCTAGTGGATCATGCTTATAATCCCAATACTTTAGGAGGCCAAGGCAGGAGGATTGCTTGAAGCCAGGAGTTCAAGACCAGACTAGGCAACTAAAACCCTGTCTCTACAAAAGCATAAAAAATTAGCCAGTCATGATAGCGTACACCTGTCCTCCCAGTTACTTAGCAAGCTGAAGTGGGAGGATCACTTGAGCTTAGGAATTCGTGGTTGCCCTCAACTTGGGTAAAAAGTGAGATCCTGTCTCAAAATTAATTAATTAATTAATTAATTAATGTGTTTAACTGCCAGTTGAGAAAAATAGAATTTTTTTTTTTTTGAGACAGAGTTTCACTCTTGTTACCCAGGCTGGAGTGCCATGGCGCAATCTCGGCTCACCGCAACCTCCGCCTCCTGGGTTCAGGCAATTCTCCTGCCTCAGCCTCCCGAGTAGCTGGGATTACAGGCACGCGCCACCATGGCCAGCTAATTTTTTTTATTTTAGTAGAGACGGGGTTTCACCATGTTGACCAGGTTGGTCTCGATCTCTCGACCTCGTGATCCACCCGCCTCGGCCTCCCAAAGTGCTGGGATTACAGGCTTGAGCCACCACGCCCGGCCGAAAAATAGAATTTTTTTAAACCTACAGATGATAATGCTTTAAAAATATTTAGCATAGACAAGGCACAGTGGCTCACACCTGTAATCCTAGCACTTTGGGAGGCTAAGGTGGCCAGATCACCGGAGGTCAGGAGTTCAAGACCAGCCTGGCCAACATGGCGAAACCCCATCTCTACTAAAAATACAAAAAAATTAACCAAACATGACGGTGCATGCCTGCAGTCCTAGCTACATGAGATGCTTGAACCTGGGCAGGAGAGGTTGCAGTGAGCTGAGATCGCACCACTGCACTCCAGCCTGGTGACAAAGTGCGACTCCAACTCAATTTAAAAAAATTAAAAAATAAGAATACTTAGCATCTGTTTTTAATTTCTAATTTTTGTGGGTACATAGCAGGTGTATATATTTATGGAGTATATGAGATATTTTACATACACTTTTATTTTTGAGACTCTCACTCTGGGAACCACAGGCGCGTGCCACCATTCCCAGCTAATTCTTTTATTTTTACTAGAGACAGGGTTTTGCCATGTTGCCCAGGCTGGTCTTAAACTCATGGCTTCAAGTGATCTGCTCATCTCGGCCTTCCAAAGTGCTGGGATTACAGGCATGAGCCACCGCACCTGGCTGAGTACATGAGATATTTTGATACAGATATGCAATGGATAATAATCACGTCTTGGAGAATGGGGTATCCATCCCATCAAGCATTTAACCTTTGTGTTACAAACAGTCCAATTATACTCGTTTAGTACTATTAACTATAGTCACCCTGTTATGCTATCAAATATTAGGTCTTATTCATTCTAAGGAGGTTTTTGGACCCATTAACCATCCCCACCTCTTCTACAACCCCCCACTACCCTTCCCAGCCTCTAGTAACCATCCTTTTACTATCTGTCTCCATAGGTTCAATTGTTTTGATTTTTAGATCCCATAAATAAGTGGGAACATAGAATGTTTGTCTTTCTGTGCCTGGCTTATTTCACTTAACATAATGATCTCTAATTCCATCCATGTTGTTGCAAATGACAGGATCTCATTCTTATTTATGGCAGAATAGTACTCTTGTTTATATGTACCCTTTTTATAATTAATTTTTTTTAATAGAGAAAGGGTCTTGCTATGTTGGGCTGGTTTTGAACTCCTGAGCTCAAGCATTCCTCCTGCCTTGGCCTCCCAAAGTGCAGTGATTATAGGTGTGAACTACCACACCTGGCCGACACCACATTTTCTTTATCCATTCATCTGCTGATGGACACTTAGGTTGATTCCAAATGTTGGCTGTTGTGAACAGTGCTCCAACAAACATGGAAGTGCAGATACCTATTCAATACACTGAGTTCCTTTCTCTTGGGTATATACTCAGCAGTGGGATTGCTGGATCTTATTTTAGCTCAATTTTTAGTTTTGTGAGGAAGCTCCAGTTACCTGTAGTGTTTCTACTAATTTACATGCCTAAGAGCAGTGTACAAGGGTTCCCTTTCTCCACATCCTTGCCAGCATTTCTTACTGCCTGTCTTTTGGATTTAAGCCATTTTAACTTGAGCTAGATGGTAACTCATTGTAGTCTCTGATGATCAGTGATGTTGATACTTAGTATCTTTAGGGCACATGTGCCATATGAAAATCCTAAGTGATACTGTAGGATGAGTAGTTACTTAACACTGATAATCTTTATTTCAGAGTCACTTTTTTATAAACCTGTTACATACAACTTTTTTTGGAAAATGTATATTTGGTATATGATTTGCCTCTTAAGTATGTATCAGCCTTTACCATACAGATAAAGAATTTTTTTTCCTTTATAAACAAAAATATAAATCTGGCTATCAGAGTTTTGGTTTGATGTCCTGCCTTTGTAATTCTATTACATTAATTTAGAGATTACTAGACTATTAGGAGTCCATTTAATGAATTTTCTATTCTACTATATAAACTACCATCCTATTTTTATTAGAATAATTTTTTTTAAAATGAAAAAGGACGTTCTGGCCAAAAGAAGTAGTAGTAAAGGGTCACGCTTCTATTCTTGCTACCCCTTCCCCTTATCTCAGGGGCAGGTTCCACTCTGCAGCGTTGTTGTTTTTCTATATTAGCCTTAATAGAGGTCTCATGTATTCCCAGGTTGTTAGTCTGTTAGACCTTCACTCCTTTGGAGTAATGGCTATATTTGCCTCATTTTTAATACTCAGCACCTAAAATAATACCAAAACATAGTAGGCTCTGAACGTGGAAAAAGGTATACAATAAAGTTCAAAGACTTTTCAAAAAATAAGACAGCATCTTGACAGTCCTTGTTCTTCCTAATATTGGGAGGAAGAAGGGATAAGATCAGCTTTCTGTAGTAACCATCCACTGATTGCTACAAGCTGAAATAGAAGCAAAAGAACCACAGTTGGTTAACAGTAACTACAGCAAGTGAAAAAGGAAACATAGTATCCACCATATATTTATTGGGAACCCATGTACTATCTAATTTTTATAATTATTCATTCATCTGTAATCAGTGTACTCACTTTTTAAATTCTGGTCTAGATTCATTTCCATGCCAGTCACTGTCAATATTCATATAACCACCAGATCCTAATTTATTAACCTCTTTAGTAATAATTATCCTTTTCTCTAAATCCAACTCTGTCACTCCCTTACGTTAGATTCTCTTCATCTCTCACCTGGGTTACTGTAACTCCTAACTTGACTCTCTTCCTCTAGATTTGTCCCTGCTATTTCTTCTTCCTTGCCACTGCTAAAGTAATACTTAAAAATATCATCACAGTACATCTTTGCCTAAAACCTATAAAATAATGCCCAAATCTCTCAGCATATAGTTTTCCACCATATCGTGCCTGCTTCTCTCTTTAGTTTTAAGTATCATATCCCCACATCTTTGGTTTTACCTCTTCCTCAAGTCTACATGCATATATATGCACACATAGTCCCAGAACATACAGATAAGTGCACATAAATCACAAATTATTATTCATGTTTCAAGAATTAATTGAGAGTTTTTCTCTTTGTGAAGTCTTCGTATTTCAGTTCTTGGTCAAAGCCTATTTGAACCACCTCTTCCTCTGTGAGTCTACTGTCCTCTGCACCCTTACTACTTTTTTGTTCTTTTTGTTGAGACAGAGTCTCACTCTGTCACCCAAGCTGGAGTGCAGTGGTGCAATCTCAGCTCACTGCAACCTCCACCTCCCAGGTTAAAGCGATTCGCATGCCTCATCCTCCCAAGTAGCTGGGATTATAGGCAGTGCTGTTACATTTTAATAATTGTAACTAATATTCATATTTATTCCAACCGTGCTCTCTTTATCCTGCTTGTTATTCTTTCTTTACTCTTTTTTTTTTTTTGAGACAGAATTTTGCTGTTGTTACCCAGACTGGAGTGCAATGGCGTGATCTCGGCTCACCGCAACCTCCGCCTCCTGGATTCAGGCAATTCTCCTGCCTCAGCCTCCTGAGTAGCTGGGACTACAGGCACGCACCACCATGCCCAGCTAATTTTTGTATTTTTAGTAGAGACAGGGTTTCACCTTGTTGACCAGGATGGTCTCGATCTCTTGACCTCGTGATCCACGCGCCTCAGCCTCCCAAAGTGCTGGGATTATAGGCGTGAGCAACCGCACCCAGCTCTTTCTTTACTCTTAGTGACCACATTTTCCAAACCAAATGTAGGGATACAGAGCTTAGCAAGTAGCAAAGTACTTATTAAGAATAATGAGAGAAGGCTGGGCGTGGTGGCTCATGCCTGTAATCCCAGCACTTTGGGAGGCCAAGGTGGGCAGCTCACCTAAGGTCAGGAGTTTGAGACCAGCCTGGCCAACATGGTGAAAAACCAGCTCTACTAAAAAAAAAAAAAAAAAAAAAACAAATATGCCAGGCATGGTGGCAGGCCCCTGTAATCCTAGATTCTCGGGAGGCTGAGGCGGGAGAATTGCTGGAACCGAGGAAGCGGAGGTTGCAGTGAGCTGAGACTACACCAGTGCACTCCAGCCTGGGTGACAGAGCGAGACTCTATCTCAAAAAAAAAAAAAAAAAAGAATAATGAGACAAACTGTATGACATGGAAATTATCCCTTAATGTTTAGGATGGTCCTAACTGATAGATGGAACTAACATTTGTCTGGAGCTTTCCCTATGGTAACTGTTGCAGAGTCCATTATCTTAAAATGTATTAAACACAAGTGGACAATTTTTCAAATTTTCTGCAGTTTAAAAATAGTAACTTGGCTGGGCACAGTGGCTCACACTTATATAATCCCAGCACTTTGGGAGGCCGAGGTGGGTGGATCACGAGGTCAAGAGATCGAGACCATCCTGGTCAACATGGTGAAACCACGTCTCTACTAAAAATACAAAATTTAGCTGGGCATGGTGGCGCAGCCTGTAGTCCCAGCTACTCGGGAGGCTGAGGTAGGAGAACTGCTTGAACCCCGGAGGCGGAGGTTGCGGTGAGCCGAGATCGCGCCATTGCACTCCAGCCTGGGTAATAAGAGCAAAACTCCTGTCTCAAAAAAAAAAAAAATACCGGGCCGGGCTCAGTGGCTCAAGCCTGTAATCCCAGCACTTTGGGAGGCCGAGGCGGGTGGATCACGAGGTCAAGAGATCAAGACCATCCTGGTCAACATGGTGAAACCCCGTCTCTACTAAAAATACAAAAAATTAGCTGGGCATGGTGGCACGTGCCTGTAATCCCAGCTACTCAGGAGGCTGAGGCAGAAGCATTGCCTGAACCCAGGAGGCAGAGGTTGTGGTTAGCCGAGATCACGCCATTGCACTCCAGCCTGGGTAACGAGCGAAACTTCGTCTCAAAAAAAATAATATAAATAAATAAATAAATAAATAGTAGCTTAAGCCATAACTGAAAAAAAATTAAATGTGGCATTAAATGTTTAAAATTTAAACCCTTAAATGTGTGTATTTCATTTTAGGAAGATTTGCCATCAACTAAAGAAGAGAGATTTCCAGCGATTCACAAGCCTATTGCTATTGGCTCTCAGCCAATGCTCACTGTTGGGACAACCCACATATCCAAACTGACAGATGACCAACTCATAAAAGAGTTTCTTAGTGGTTCCTACTGCTTTCATGGGGTGAGAAGTAAATCTTTAGTTTAAATATTTATTTTAACAACTTTTACCTGCCAGATATGGTCAGTGGGCATCAGCAGCACTGAAAAGGAATTTTTCTATAGAGAAATGGCAGGATCATGTCATCCCCAAAGAACATTTTCTTTCTGCAGTCTCATACCCCTACGTCTCTATAATCTAATCTGTAGCCTTTATGTTCTCTTTATTTCACAAGGTAAAAATTTGACCTTTTTTCTGGCAATCATATGTGATTCTGGTTGATTGCTAGAATGAGCATGTAATTGTACATCGCATATTTTGGTTATGTAGCAATCACATTTCAAAATTGAATTAGCATCTCCCTTAAAAAAAATTAGGGATAGGGTCTCACTGTGTTACCCAGGCTGATCTCAAACTCCTGGGCTCAAGCAATCCTCCTGCCTCAGCCTCCCCAAAGTGCTGGGATTATAGGTGTGAGCCACCACGCCCAGCCAACATCTCCCTTAACAAAGTTAAAAATTTTGACTCTGACTGTTATCACCAGTGCGAAATACAGTTACTAGTGGAATAGTTTCTAGTGGAATTTTTGTTTTATTGTATTTAAAATTTTACCAAGACAGTGCGTATTCTGTGTATTTGTCTTTTATAATTTCTCAGTAATGTTTTCTTTTAAGTTTCAACCATACTATTGCTTTTACAGGTTTTAAAAATAACATGTATTTCCATTACTATGATGTGCCTGTATTAAGACAGGCCCACATCCTCTTTTCCTGGTGCTTAACTTGATCTAATATGTTTTCTTTTTTTTAGGGTGTTGGTTGGTGGAAATATGAATTCTGCTATGGCAAACATGTACATCAATACCATGAGGTATAGAATAGCATTTATATATCATTCTACCATTAAATGGTTTAAAGTTTAAAAAATCTATTATAGAGAAAAGAAGGGTGAGTGGTGTTACTTTTAATTATCAGATGGTTTTTTTCTTTTTTGGAGAAAGAGTCTCGCTCTGTAGCACTGGCTGGAGTGCAGTGGTGCAATCCTGGCTCACTACAATGTCCGCCTACTGGGTCCCAGTTCAAGCAATTCTCCTGCCCCAGCTTCCCAAGTAGCTGGGATTACAGGCATGCACCACCATGTCCAGCTAATTTTTTTTGTATTTTTAGTAGAGATGGAGTTTCACCATGTTGGCCAACGTGGTCTTGAACTCCTAACCTCGTGATCTGCCCGCCTCGGCCTCCCAAAGTGCTAGGATTACAGGCGTGAGCCACCGTGCCTGGCCTATAAGTGATTTTAATATGATTAGCATAATGAAAGTATCCCCAAATTTGGGAAAATAGAAAACTTGGCATTAACCAAATCAGTAACCTTAATGCTGTGAGCCTGGTAGAATAATGAGCTGTTGTGGCTATACCTCTTTAGCTTTGATCAAGAAATTAATCATTCTTAAAACTCATCTTTAAATTAAGAAAATAAATTAGCCAGGAGTGGTGGCTTATGCCTATAATCCTAGTTACTCGGGAGGCTGAGGTGGGAGGATCACTTGAACATGGGAGGCGGAGGAGGTTGCAGTGAGCTGATAACACAACACAGCACTCCAGCCTGGGTGACAGAAGGAGACTCCATTTCAAAAAAGAAATTCATTAATTAAGAAAATGCGGCTGGGCACAGTGGCTCACGCCTGTACTCCCAGCACTTTGGGAGGTCAAGGCAAACTCCTGAGGTGAGGGGTTCGAGACCAGCCTGGCAATATGGTGAAACCTGTCTCTACTAAAATATGGAAATTAGCTGAGCATGGGCCCATAATTCCAGCTACTCAGGAGACTGAGGCCCAAGAATCACTGGAACCTGGAAGGCAGAGGTTGCAGTGAGCCAAGATCACACTGCACTCCAGCCTGGGAAGCAGAGTGAGACTCTGTCTCAAAAGAAAAAAAAGAAAGAAAGAAAATAAATAGTAAGATCATTGCTAGAGTTACAAATATTGGGTTACATTATTGCTAGAGTTACAAATATTGGGTAAATACAGCAAGTTTCTCAGCTAAAAGAGTAAGATACCCTGGGCCACCAGGGCATGATGGCTTATGCCTATAATCCAAACATTTTGGGAGCCAAGGCAGGAGGATCGCTTGAGGCCAGGAGTTCAGGACCAGCCAGGGCAACAATGCAAAATACCATCACTACAAAAAATTTTAAAAAGTTTTTAAAAAGAAGATATTATATCATCTAAGTTTAAAATAACTTTTAAGGTTATATTTTTTGGGCGTCTGTTCTCCTTTTATTTATAATTTTTTGACTCAGGCAATATATTCTCTCATGCTTGAGCCAGCCTGCTTAAATTCTGAGGTTCCAGTTCCAATTTATTATTTGTCCTACTTATACTTTGTTTAATAAAGTAGGCTGGTAGATATTGAAGACAAGCTTTAATTAATGAATATGGACTGAGCTGCTTTAAAAGACTATTTTCATTATCTAAAAAAGAAAATGACCAGGAAATAGAAAAGTGTGTATTTGCCCACTCCTAATGTGTTCAACTGATCTTAAATTCCAAGATAGATCATACTGGGACAGATTGTCAATTCACCTTGCACATTTAAATCTTCCAAAATAAAGGAGACGTCCATAGAGTAGGATGTGTTGGTTTTTTTTTTTTTTTTTCCACTTAAACCAAACCTAAGAAGTTTCATTTAAGTATTTTCATTTATTCCTGCTACTTTGCAGATGTTTGTTTTTTTAATGCAATACAGAAAAAGGATAAAGTACCATCTAACTACAACCCACATAATACCTGGTGAGTTTCTTAATTAAAGAAATGTATGCCAAAAATTTTAAATGAGAAGTATCTCTCTCCTTTGCCATCATCCTACTTCTCATAAGTAACTACTGTTACCATTTTCATAGCACTCCACATAAAAAATATATATATAAAAATACATCTATATGTAGATGTTGGTATGACTTTTTTATTTATAGAGAAGGGATCGTGCACTGCTCTGCCACTTGTTGTTTTCACTTAGTATCTTGGAGATTTCTCCATGTCAGCAACAACCAATCTCGTTCTTTTCAGCAGGTACAGAGGATTATGTCTGTACCACAGTGTATTTAACCAGGTCTCTGCTGATGGACCTTTGTTTCCAGTTTTCGCCGTGATACTGTTTTAGTAGATATTTTTAAATAGTTCTGTTGGTATACTTTTGCAAGTATATTCATAAGAGACATTTCTTTTTTTTTTTTTTTTTTTTTTTTTGAGATAGAGTTTCGCTCTTGTTGCCCGGGCTGGAGTGAGTACCATGATGCAACCTTGGCTCACTGCAACCTTCGCCTCTCAAGTTCAAGCAATTCTCCTGCCTCAGCCTCCTGAGTTATCTGGGATTACAGGCATGCGCCACCACACCCGGCTAATTTTGTATTTTTAGTGTAAATGGGGTTTCTCTGTGTTGGTCAGGCTGGTCTTGAACTCCCAGTCTCAAGTAATCTGCCCACCTTGGCCTCCCAAAGTGCTGGGATTACAGGCGTTATCCACTGCACCCGGCCTTAAGGGACATTTCTATCAACATACATGCTAGGTCAAAGTATCTGCATACTGAAAAATTCCCTTCCAGATTTAGACCAGTTTACACTTACATAAACAATGACTGCATTCCTATACACTTGCCAACACTAGGTTTTACCAAACTTATTTTAGCCAAGGTTATATAACCTGGAACTTTTTGGGGAACTTTTTGGGTATTTAGAGAGATACTAAAAATAATAGTCACTTGCAAATACGGTGCTTACTGTATGCCAGGTACTATGTACTTTACACATATTCTTTTACTATTCATACAACCTTAAGAGGTGGTTATTGTTATTCCAAGATGAGGAAATAGAAACAAAGTTTCAGTAACTTGCCTAAAGTCAAATAGATAGTAACTGATGAAACTGGAATTCAAACCCAGGCAGTCTGGCTCCATATCCAACCTCTTAAACACTTCACTTTGCTGCTCAAAGTTCTGCCTATCTAGGAACTTAATCTAGTTGTTAAAAACAAATGTTATTAGTTATCTCTTCTATTAGGGACTAAGCTCTACTGGGCATTGACCCTACCTGTTTCCTTTTCCACATAGGGTTTTGTTTTGTTTTTCTTTGAGATGGAGTTTTGCTCTTGTTGCCCAGCCTTGAGTACAATGGCGCAATCTCAGCTCACCACAACCTCTGCCTTCCAGGTTCAAGCAGTTCTTCTGCCTCAGCCTCCTGAGTAGCTGGGATTACAGGCATGCACCACCACACCTGGCTAATTTTGTATTTTTGGTAGAAACGGGGTTTCACCTTGTTGACCACGATGGTCTCAAACTTCCGACCTCTGGTGATTCACTCTCCGTGGCTTCCCAAAGTGCTGAGATTACAGGCATGAGCCACCGTGCCTGGCCAGGGGTTTTCAGTTCTACTAAACAGATATATACTCGTGCCCAGCATGGTTGTCTGGCGATGTGAAGAAGGAAATCAAAGGATGAAAGGAGGTAGGAAGGAAAAGGAAGGAGAAAGAAGGAAGGATGTCCACATATAAGACAGTATATAATTAGTATATTGTTTACTGTCTGGAATTCAAACTGGAATTCAAACCCAGGCAGTCTGGCTCCATATCCAACCTCTTAAACACTTCACTTTGCTGCTCAAAGTTCTGCCTATCTAGGAACTTAATCTAGTTGTTAAAAACAAATGTTATTAGTTATCTCTTCTATTATAAAATAAAGCCAGACTTTATTGTTTAAACAAGTAATAAAGGCACAATGGGAAAGGGGGTTTCTGGACAAACAATTTCAATAGAGAAGTAAGTATGGTTTCAAATGAGTAAAGACCAGTATAACAGTGGTCTGAAAGAGTAGGCGTAGGATGAAGTTAGGCTGCAGAGGAAGAGTTAGAGGCCAAATATTTAATTAAGAATCACAGTAGGGCTGGGCGCGGTGGCTCACGCCTGTAATCCCAGCACTTTGGGAGGCCGAGGAGGGTGGATCACGAGGTCAAGAGATCGAGACCATCCCGGTCAACATGGTGAAACCCTGTCGCTACTAAAAATACAAAAAAATTAGCTGGGCACGGTGGCACGTGCCTGTAGTCCCAGCTACTCAGGAGGCTGAGGCAGGAGAATTGCCTGAACCCAGGAGGCAGAGGCTGCGGTGAGCCGAGATCGCGCCATTGCACTCCAGCCTGGGTAACAAGAGCAAAACTCCATCTCAAAAAAAAGAATCACAGTAGTATGTGATAGTGTTATCTAGGTATGAGAGATTAAACTCTTGCTGGCAGTGAAAAAGTAGAGCAAGAGTCTAAAGCTGAAAAATCTCCAGGAAAGAACTGATGGGAGTGATCTGTAGAAGAGAAAAGAGATGAAAGAGCCAAAAATAACTACATTTCAAGCTAGCCTGACTAGAAATTAGTTATGTTGTTCAGAGAAACAGGGGATAAAGATAATGTACTTAAATTTCCACTCGTTGAGTTTGACTAACATCATTACACCTAAATATAGATACCCACTGTGCTGTGCAGACAAAGACTAGCTTACAAGAAGGTCATGTCATCGGCATATCTACTTGATGATGTCAAGCATGCATTATCACAAATATGTTTCCATGTGTTAGGACAAGGATGCAGGGAAAACCTCTGTGGTTGTCGGGACATGGAACCAAGATGAGCATATTGAATGGGCTAAGAAGAATACTGCTAGAGCTTATCATCTTCAAGATGATGGTACCCAGACAGTCAGGTAAAGATTTACTTTACTTGCCTTTGGAGCTGATTAGTAGAATTTCTAAAACTCAAAATATTGAAAAACATAAAAACTCAACATTTAAGTAAAATCCCTGGTCAGTTTTTTTCAGGAGACATCTTTTAGGTTAATTTTCTTTTCTTGGGGAAGCAACACAGTGCAGTAGTTCAGAGCACGGCTCTGGAGTCAGACTACCTGTCTTCAAATGCTGGCTCATCACTTTCTACCTTGGAGAAATTATGTAATCTTTTTTAACTCTCACTTTTGCTGTCTAATAGTATTTACCTCATGATTATTATAACATTTAAGAGGTAATTTACATAAAGAAGAATGCCTGGCAATAAACCTGGGCTGCTGCCTTTAACAATGGGGGGTGATACGTTAATGAGAGTGTCAGTGTTGTTAGTAAAAACAGCTCAATTCGGTTAGAACTGAGGCTGTTTTGGTTTTTTGTTTGTTTGAGACGGAGTCTTGCTGTGTTGCCAGGCTGGAGTGCAGTGGCGCAATCTCAGCTCACTGCAACCTCCGCTTCCTGGGTTCAAGCGATTCTTCCGTCTCAGCCTCCTGAGTAGCTGGGACTACAGGCATGTGCCACCACACCCAGCTAATTTTTGTATTTTTAGTAGAGAGCGGGTTTCATCATGTTGGCCAGAATGGTCTCGATCTCTTGACCTCATGATCCACCCACCTCGGCCTCCCAGAGTGCTGGGATTACAGGCATGAGCCACTGCGCCCGGCCAAGGCTGTTTTTTAAAAACTACTTTACATCTCTTTTGGAATATATGCATATTCTTGTCAAAACATAGTAAGTTAATCTTATTTCCCAAGAATAACTACATTTTAGTTTTTCTTGTAGACTCTTACTCAGTATGTTTTATTCTTTCTTGTTCCTTCTTGTGTATTACCTCTGTCCTTCCTAAAACAGATGGATGATATGGATTGTTTTCAGAGTGTGCTGACTTTTTGAGCTGATGAAAGTCAAAGTCAGCAAAATTAAAACATAGACATTAAGTATTATAGTATACTAAACAGATTGAGTTTTCTTATCCTTGTAGATATATCTTTTATATGAAAACAATTTGTGGTATCATGTGCAATATATGTTGAAGCATGAGTGGTTAGACTGGTAAAATAAAAGCTTTTCTTTGGATCCTGCTCATTTGAGATTGATGGTTTGGCCTAGGCTTTGCCTAACATACAGTATTTTAATGGGAGTAGCTTGATGGAGGATGGAAGCAAAGAACTGTTTCACAAAGCAATATAGTGGGCTGGAGAAATAGATAACTTTAAAACAACTTTTTTATTTATAATTATTTTTAAACAAATAAATAATATGCAAGTTGAAAATAATTATTATTAACTAAGCCAGTATGAACTATCTCTCTGTTATATTCTCTTTATAGGATCCAAAAGACTGCCTTTGTGACATAACCCTAAAAATATTTTTTTAAAGAATATTTTATAGTCGGGTTTTTTTAACTAATGCAAAACTGATCCCTCTAACCATCTTCTCCCTCTACCTATTACAGTTACTATATTAGTGAGATTTTAGTTTAATAAAACTTGTGTGTTTCTCTGATTCAGGATGGTGTCACATTTTTATGGAAATGGAGATATTTGTGATATAACTGACAAACCAAGACAGGTGACTGTAAAACTAAAGTAAGTTAGACCATCAAATCATACTATATGCTTTCTCTTTTGCCTGTTTCCTGTAGACAAAAGTTTTATGTAAACAAAGTATAATTAAGAATAATTATTAAAGTATATACTATTTAAATTATTCATAAAATTAAATTATACAGGGTACACTTGAATGGGATTTTTAGGAGTAAAACTATTAACAGTGATCTTACTTTAAATGATTCTGGCAGTACCTTAAAGTTCTCTGTTTTAGGTGTAAAGAATCAGATTCGCCTCATGCTGTTACTGTATATATGCTAGAGCCTCACTCCTGTCAATACATACTCGGGGTAAGTTAAAAAGAAAATAATCAAAAATTCCATTTTGAGCCAGGTTTTAATTTTTTGCATGAAGTTTAGGAAGGAACTTCAATAGTCTCCAAGACTTAATGGCCCACATACCACTTCTGTGATAGCTGACATTTTTTATTTGACATTTTTTAATTGATATATAATTTACATGAAATAAAATGCACTGATCTTGTGTTAAGCGTGATAAGTTTTGACAATTTTATACACCCATGTAACTATCACCCAAAACGGGGTATGTCACTGAAGAAAGTTCTCTCATTTCCCTTTCCAGTAAACACCCCTTAGCCCTCGCTGAGAGATACCCCTTTCTGATTTCTGACACTATAGATTAGTTTTGCCTCTTTTTTAAGTTCCACATGAATGGAATCATATAGTGTATAATATATTTGTGCCTGAACTCTGACTCAGTATAACACTTTTTGTTTGGTGTTTAGTTTATTTTTTTTCTATTGATATATATTGGTATATGTTTACAGGTTACATATGATACTTAGTTACATCCATAGAATGTGTAATGATCCAGTCAGAGTTTTCAGAATATTGATTACCACAAGCATTTATTGTTTCTCTGTGTTGAGAACATTTTAGGTCCTCAGTTCTCAACACATCTTAACAGAGGTCTGGATGTGAACTCTGTATTTGTACTCCGCATATTTTTTTCTCTGTCTGTGGCTTGCCTATTCATTTTTTTTAAAATAAAGACAGGGTCTCACCATATTAGCCATGCTGCTCTCAAACTCATGGACTCAATCAATCCTCCCACCTTGCCCTCCCAAAGTGCTGGGATTATAGGCATCAGCCACCACACAGGCTGGAATGCAGTGGTGCAGTCTTGGCTCACTGCAGCCTCCGCCTCCCGAATTCAAACAATTCTTATGCCTCAGCCTTCCTAGTAGCTAGGACTACAAGTGTGCACCACCACGCCTGGCCGATTTTTGGTTTTTGGATTTTGGTTTTATTTTGAGACTGAGTCTTACTCTGTCGCCCAGGCTGGAGTGCAGTGGCATGCTCTTGGCTCACTGCAGCCTCCACCTCCTGGGTTCAAGCAGTTCTCCTGCCTCAGCCTCCTAAGTAGCTGGAATTACAGGCATATGCCACCACGTCCGGCTAGTTTTTGTAATTTTAGTAGAGACAGGGTTTCACCATGTTGGCCAGGCTAGTCTCAAACTCCTGACCTCAAGTGATCTGCCTGCCTCAGCCTTTCAAATTACTGGGATTGTAGGTGTGAGCCACCCACATCCAGCCCAATTTTATTATTAATCTCTTTTGGTGAAAAAAAATTTTTATTTCATTAAGATCAGTTTATCATTTATTCCTTTTTAAGAGCTAATACTTTCTGTGTTCTAAGAAATTTTTAATACCCCAAAATCATGAAAATATTCTCCTATATTTCCTTCCAAAGACTTTATGGTTCTACTTTTGACTATCTAATGCCTGAATATGGTTTTCTCTGTATTTATCCTGCTTGGAGTTCACTGAGCTTCTTGAATTTGTGGGTTGATATATTCTATCAATTTAAAGAAATTTTTGGACATTATCTCCTCAAAGATTTATTCTGCTCCATTCTTTTTCTGATACTCCAGTAAGACATGTTAATATAAAATTGTTCCAAAATCTCAGAGACCCCTTTATTCCCACTTTTTTTCCTTCGTTTCATTTTGGGTTATTTATATTAAGCAGTCTTCAAACTTGTTAATTCCTCTGCTGTGTCCAGTCCATTGAATGAATTTTATCACTGACATTTTTTTATCTCTAACATTTCCACTTGGTCCTTATCTCTGCTGAAATTTCCTATCTGATCATACCTGTTTTCTTCATCATGTTTATTATAATTACTATAACATCTGATAATTTCAATGTCTTATCCATCTTTGGGTCACATTTTTCTTTACCTTTCACTTTAAATACACTTAATTATTTTGTCATAATGTCCTACCTTTTTTGTTATATAAGAGCTGTGTATTCCTCTCTTATTTCCTGTCCTTTGTTCCTTTTCTCTCCTCCCTTGTTCAACTTCTCCCACCTATTTGATATTCTGTATGGATAACTGAAAGTTATTTTTCCAAAAGCTTAATTTGTAGAGGATAATGTTGGATTTTATCTAAAACAAGGACTTAACGCTTCTAGCAAATATAACTACATTTAGCCATTCAGCAGAATAGTACTGAAAAGTATTCAGCTTAGCAACTTTTTAATGCCTTTGTTTTTCTTCTTCTTTAGGTTGAATCTCCAGTGATCTGTAAAATTTTAGATACAGCAGATGAAAATGGACTTCTTTCTCTCCCCAACTAAGGGATATTAAAGTTAGGAGAAAGAAAAGATCACTGAAAGTCATGATGATTTCTGTCTGACTGCGTCTCTATAGAGTTCTCAACCATTGGATCGCTTCTAAAGGATCGTATAAAATGACTCTCAACCACTTTGTGAATATATATGTGTATATAAGAGGTTATTGATAAACTTCTAAGGCAGACGTTTGTCTCACTTTTTTTCATTTTTGTTGTGTCTTATGAACTGATTGTTTTCTTTGCTTGGATAGTGTGTTTCCAAAATAAATCTCATCCAAGCAAGTTAGAATCCAGTCTAATCAAATTATCATAATTGTTGTACCTATTGAAAGTTTTTAAATAACAGATTTATTATGTAAATTAAAGTATATATAACTAGCTAATGAAGTAAAGATCATGAAGAAAGAAATTGATAGGTTTAAATGAGAGACTATGTAAAATATGTAAATTCTAGTGTAAATGAAAGGATTTCTGATATCGTTTCAACAGATTTTTATATAGCAGCTGCTCTCTGCAAGGTGTTAAACTAGAAACTGGGCACATGGTAGAGGCTCACATGGGAGTTTTCCTCACCCTTGTTAATCTCAAGAAATTCTTATTTATAATAGGTTGCTTTTATCTATTTCATTTTCCTTCTTACAAGTATGTTTACTCTGAGAGTATCGGATGTAGACAGTTGGTGATGCTTCTCTGAGACTCAGGGGGTTTACTCTAACAAAACACTGTGCTGTCTACCAATTGTACTTGCCTACTGTAATACAGATTTCAGTTCTGAACAGTTTACAGCATAGTATTTATTTTAAAGTGAATAAAATGTCCATAAACAGTGTTGTCATGTAGTCAGTGGCAGATTACTAAGTTCCTTTATTTTCTCCATTATCCTGTTGCACAAACTTTGAACATACATATCTGAACAAGAACAGAAAAGGGCCATAAAGTCTTTACTTTTTCTCCTTTTCAGTAGTTCTGGCCAAAGATACTTTAGTTTAACAAAAGATGAATTGACTATTTTAGGGTTATTTGCAGATTTTAGTAGGAAGCAGCACATATAGAAAGAGCATGAACTTTGAATTCAGACCTAGGTCAAAATCCTTTTTTTTTTTTTCTTTCTCTCCAGAGATGGGGCTGCTCAGGCTGCTCTGAACCCCTGGCCTCAAGCGGTTTTTCCACCTCAGCCTCCCAAATAGCTGGGACTACCAGGCACACACCAGCAAGACCAGTGCAAAATCCTCTCTTTAACTTACTGTGTACAAGATAGGGGAAACCAAACACTTACACAAATACAGCACAGAACAAACACTAGGTCACCAAAATGTGGGGCGGGGGGGGGTTTCCTCACACCAACCAATTTTCTGATACCAGTTGGGTATCCTACAATTCAGTTCAATTGTGACACTTGTCTACTTGGAGTTAGCATCAGACCCCACAGGTAAAGGGCTTAGTTTCGCAAAACTGCTTCCACTTCAGATGACAATTGCAAGTCTAGGCACCTAGTACCTTTGACCAACCAGCATATAAATCAGGGGTTCCATAACTCTCTTCTTGGGTTTAATAATTTGCTAGGCTGCCCCACAGAATTAAAGGAAACAGTTATTATAAAGGATGCAATTAAGGAACGGCCAGATGGAAGAGCTACATAGGCAAGGTATGGCAGTGTAGGGGGCAGGGGAGTCCTGCAGACCTTCTAGGCTCCCTCTAGGCATGCCACTCCCCCAGCACTACGTTCAGGAACCTAGAAGCTCATCAGATCTCAAGAGTTTTTATAGAGTTTGATTTCTAGACTCCCTCCCCCATCTCCTTCCCAGAGGTCAATCGGTAGGGCTGAAAGTTCCAACCATCTAATCAATCACTTGGTCTTTCTGGTGAGCAGCCCCATGCTGAGGCTATCTAGAGGCTCCACCTAAGTAACCTCTATCTAACTCAATCCAGATAGACTCTATCCAGATAGAGACAGGGTGATCAAAAAGGGATCCTGATGAGTAACAAGACACTCCCATCACTGGGGACATTCCTAGGGTTTTAGGAGCTCTGTGTCAAGAACTTGAGACAAAGACCAAATATATTTCTTATACCACATACAAACTATGTGATGCTAGACATGTCAGCGAGTACTTGCTTCATAAAGTGGTTATATCAGTGCACGAATTTTACTGTGTGTAAAAAGCCTAGTCCAATACTTGATACCAGTATGTGTTAACTTCCTTTTATTGCCTTTGTCTCCTGTTCACATAAAAAGATCAAAGATCTTCACTGCTATGTTTGTTCAGGTGACAGAGGGAAAAAAAGATCAAAGCCATTAAAATTCTTTTTTGTTGTTTAGACGGAGTCTTGCTTTGTCACCCAAGCTAGAGTGCGATGACACGATCTTGGCTCACTGCAACCTCTGCCTCTTGGGTTCAAGTGATTCTCATGTTTTAGCCTCCTAAGTAGCTGGAACTATAGGCGTATACCACCACACCCAGCTAGTTTTTGTATTTCTGTATAGACAGGGTTTTGCCATGTTGGCAAGGCTGGTCTCGAACTCCTGACCTCGAGTGATCCACCCTCATGGGCCTCGCAATGAGCCACCACGCCCCACCAAAATTCATTTCTTTAATGAATTACAGAATCATGTTTATTATATCAATGAGTTAAAACTATTAGCCAGACATGGTGGCATGGCCTGTAGTCCTAGCTACTCAGGAGGCTGAGGCAGGAGAATTGTTTGAAACCCAGAGGTGGAGGTTGCTGTGAGCTGAGATTGCGCCACTGCACTCCAGCCTGGTTGACAGAGCGAGACTCTGTCTTGAAAAAACAAAACATAATCACCCTCATATTGAGTATAGGTGATTGATAGGGGAGGGAGTTAAAATTGTGAAAGATTAGTGCCAGAATATACATTGAGAATATTTAGAACAAACTCTTTCTTTTAGAAGAGGAGGGAAAGATCATCTTTTAAAACTGTACTGGAATAGTTTACTAGGGAAGATTCTTAAAAACAGAAGTCATTTCAAAATAAAGATTTTATAAGAGTCAGCAAATCTGGGACAGTGGGAGGTGGGGAGTTGGAGAGAGAGAGCATGGAGAGAAATGCCAGATACAGGTGATGGGGAGGAAGGCAGCAAATCACACTGCCATGTGTGTACCTATGCAACAGTCTTGCATGTTCTTCACATGTACCCGAAAACCTAAAATGCAATAAAAGAAAAATAAATAAATACATCAATTAAAAAAAAAAAAGGAGTCAGCAAATCAGCCTTCTAGTTAAGTACACACCAAGTTACACAGGAAGCTGAAGCTGGAGGATAGCTTGAGCCCAGGAGTTCAAGGCTGTAGTGCACTATGACTACCATACCCAGTGTAGTGCACTGGGCAACATAGCAACACGCAGTCACACACACACACACACGCAAATAGTCTCTGTCTTGACTAACATAGCTCCAACTTCTTTAAGGATAGGGGCCAGTCCGGGTACCTCCACATCTCTTTTAAATCTTGTATCCTCTATCAGTAGTCTTTGAAGTCTCACTTGCTCTTCAGCTTACTTGCTACTAACTCTGTGATACAGTCATTCTGTATAAGCAGGTTGAATTGCTAACAGGGAAGGGAAGTGTCTCAGTTACAATATGCCTAATGCATTTTGAGAAGGTTGTTTTTTTTTTTTGTTTGTTTGTTTGTTTTTGTTTTTGTTTGTTTGTTTGTTTGTTTTTTGAGACGGAGTTTCGCTTTTGTTACCCAGGCTGGAGTGCAATGGCGTGATCTCAGCTCACCGCAACCTCCACCACCTGGGTTCAGGCAATTCTCCTGTCTCAGCCTCCTAAGTAGCTGGGATTACAGGCACGCGCCACCATGCCCAGCTAATTTTTCGTAGAGACGGAGTTTCACCATGTTGACCGGTATGGTCTCGCTCTTTTGACCTCGTGATCCACCCTTCTCTGCCTCCCAAAGTGTTGGGATTACAGGCTTGAGCCACCACGCCCGGCGCATTTTGAGAAGTCTATCTCATCTCTGTTAAAGCCGATGCTACGCCACACCTAAACCAGATTCTTAGGGCAGTGCCTAAGAATCTGTGTTTTAAATACACATAGCAAGTGCTTCTCTGGTTTGTTTTTGGTTTTTTTTTTTTGAGACAGTCTCAATCTGTCTCCCAGGCTGGAGTGCAGTGGCGTGATCTCGGCTCACTGCAACCTCTGCCTCCCGGAGGTTAAGCAATTCTCAACCTCCGCCTCCCGGTTTAAGCAATTCTCTGCCTCAGCTCCCGAGTAGCTGGAATATTACAGGCTCGTGCCACCACAGTCGGCTAATTTTTGTATTTTTAGTAGAGATGGGGGTTTCACCATGTTGACCAGGCTGGTCTTGAACTCCTGACCCCGTGATCCACATGCCTCAGCCTCCCAAAGTGCTGAATTACAGGCGTAACCCACCATGCCCGGCCTGACACTGTTTTACATAAATTCTCCAGTGATTGAGAATTGCTGAAGGGACTTCCCTAACTACTAACCCTCCTGTCTCCAGGTGAGAGTTTCAGAGAGATAACTAGTAGTTCATCTTTACAAGAAGGTTGAGACTTTGAACTTTTGTGGGGGTTTTCTTTAGGGGTTTTTGTTTTTGTTTTTGTTTTCTGTTTTGCTTTTTAAAATTTTACCCGCTTTTCTTTGAGATGCCACTAGGTGGGGCTTGTAGCCCAGCCCTAGTTTATTTATTTATTTATTTATTTACTTACTTATTTACTTATTTGAGAGAGGGTTTCGCTCTGTTGCCTAGGCTGGAATGCAGTGGCACGGTCATGGTTCACTGCAGCCTCAATCTTCTGGGCTCAAGGGATCCTCCTGTCTCAGCCTCCTGAGTAGCTGGGGCTACCGGCGTGCACCACCACACCTGGCTAATTTTTAATTTTTTTTTTTTTTAAGATGAGGTTTCACCATGATGGCCAGGCTGGTCTTGAACTCCTGACCTCAGGTGATCCACCCACTTCGGCCTCCCAAAGCGCTAGGATTACAGGCGTGAGCCACCGTGCCCGGCCCAATTTTTAATTTTTTTGTAAAGTCAAGGTCTCCCTATGTTGCCCAGGCTGGTCTCAAAGTTTCGAGCTCAAGCGATCCTCCCACCTTGGCCTCCCAAAATGCTGGGATTAGAGGCGTGAGCCACTGTGCTGGCCCCTAGTTTATCATCCTTGATTAAAGAGACTCTGGCAATAAACTGTCTCAAAATTGAATAGTTACGCTTTGTGTACTGTGCCCTGTGAACTATCCTTTTCAATCAGTCTGCTACCCAAAGACCTAACCTGGTTTCTGACAATACTTAAACTACATAGTACATAATTGGGCCAAATTATTGACCCAGTAGCACCAAAGACCTTGCTTAAAGGATTTAAGCTAAACAGGAAAATAAAGTTAAGACTAAATTTTGAATAATTAAGTTTCGCAATCAGAGCTTCAAATGAAAATGCATATCATCTACCCTAGAATGATTTTATTTTTCATTTCATTTTATTTTTAGAGGCGGGCTTTCGCTCTTTTGCACAGGCTGGAGTGCAGTGGCACAATCCCAGCTCACTGCACCCTTAAACTCCTGGGCCCAAGCAATCCTCCAGCCTCAGCTTCCCAAGTAGTTGGGACTCCACATGTGGACCACCACGCTGGGCTCCTAGAATGATTTCAAACTCTTCCTAATGTTGGGCAATTTTATTACAGTGCTTGCATTTGCATTTAAACATAGAACTATCTTTCATATATATGGATGTCATATGTTATAATAAGATGTTCAGGTAAAAGTTTTAAAATACGTTGCAGTGGTGGCATGAATTAGAAGAAAATTCATTTCTTTTTTTTTTCTTTTGACCTGCTTCATTTCTGACCTG